AACTTTAAGGTCAAAATCAAAGGATAACTTCAGAGTTAAATTTTGATTCTGGAACCCTAAATCTAAAATAAACAAACAAACAAACAAAAAAACACAGCCAAAAAAAAAAAAAAACAAAAAACAAACAAACAAAAAAAACCCACCAAAACAAAACTCTTTAAAAATGTTAATATTTTCCCAAAGTTATTCTTGTTCTGCTGTCTTTTTCTCTACTTCGAAATGTTCTCCAGATTATTTTCTGACACTGTATAAACTGTATGTTGTCTTTACATTATAAAGGTATTAAATTCTATACATATCTAGTTTATTCTAGCTTCTTCAATGCTATGATGCTAATTTTAGTATTTTAGTTTTACCTTTAGACTTTTAAGACACTTAAGACTTTTTGCGTATTTTTAACAGAAACTCATATCTCTGACATTTCTAGTCAACGTCTAAAATTCAAAGACATGTAGAAGACTCTTGTAAAGATAATCTTTACCTTATGTTCATTTCTTAATAATTATGATTACAGTATTTCAGGTTTAATGTCAGTTTCATGTTTTTCAGGCTTTTGATTTATATAAATATATATCTCAATGTACTCTATGAGATGAAGCATTTTAAAATACCTTGATGACAACTGCTTGTAGTGATTTAATAGCTGGTGATGGTCAATTTTACTGTCATTAAAAGCACAATCCAGTGTGATGATACTAGTCCTGTCTTTACTTTAAATTATTCTCCTATAATATTGGGGGGAAAAAAGATTGTTTATTCCTTGCATTTTAAATTACTATTATAATGCAAAAATTACTAATTGTAAATTCAGGGGACTATTTTTAACTGTTGCATATCTTGATTTAATGATGCTGAATGCATATATGGTGCACATTTTAATTGCAGACATGGACATCAGAGAAATGGCATCTTCCTCAGGTCAGATATGTGATTGACCTTGATTTCATTGTGGCTTTTTTGTATTTACTGTGGATTACATCTCTAACAAACAGCAGCTTTCATATAAACTCATGATTTAATAATAGATCACAGTCCACATCTCATTTTTCTTTTACTTGCTTGAAAGATTAAGGTTTACCATTTCAGCTACTGAATTACGCAAAGCTTTCTTCATCAGTTTGAAGCTTCCATTGTGAATGCTCCTGACTATTATGATTTCTTTCCCTTTCTTTTGCAGGTTTCATATTTTCACATAGTTGTGTTAAAACAGATGATCATCTGTGCTTTCGGTTTCGTTATGTACTTTTTTTATTTGTATTTCTTTTCACAGATGAAGATGACACTTCAGTTAGTACTCCACCAGCAGGTTAGGACTGTGATAGTAATTTGTGTGTGTGTATGTATGTATGTATTTTTCTCTTAACTATTAAGGAAGAAAGAGTCCAAACCACTGGACTGAATTCAAAACATATTAATTAGATAAAAAGGTTTTTGAAGTGCCATACATTAAATTAATCTCTCTTCTGAATTACAAGATCTTCATACCAGATAAGTTCCATTGCAGTCCTGTCTTGATGTCTTTGGTAGAATTTCTGCCATTGGAAGGTAAAATATTTGTTAGCAGCTCTGAGAGCAACTCTTTTCCTATCAATAAATATGGAGTACATTTTTAAGGTTAGTCTCAAGAATTACAAATAAAACAGATGCTTTATGACTTCAGAACAGGTTTATTCACATAATTGTTTATCAACTCACCTTCGGCCATATGACCTACAAGGTTATTCAAACATACTGCTGCCAAGCTGGCTCTGGTTGATGGCAGTGAAAGGAAATCAACAACACAAGCGTCCATCATAAGAGATGTGACATGAGCAACATCTCTCCATTGCTTGCTTAATACGTTTTTTTAAAAACGGTGTGAATGAAACAGAGATTTTCAACACTAGAAAGTGCTCTGTAGTGTTTCAAATGAAAAACATGCTCTTACTTATCTTCACTGCCCTAAATGATTGCATTTCTCCATTTCTTCTAAAAGAATTTGCATTATTTAATTTGGTCTGAATGCTATCTGTAAAGTCAGTAGCAGTACATTAATTTACAGTACTAGAGGACACCATCGACAAAAGCTAAATATATAAATAACATTGTGAGTCACAACCCCCTAAAATTTCATTTCAACTATTTATTGTTATTTTGATCAATCTCGATAAATAAATATACTATTTAAGTAATACAAAGTACTGTCCCTTCAGAGAAATATTTAACAACATAAATTTATCTGTTATCTGGAACCACACAAATCATGACGAAAACAACAGTTTTGTGGAACCCCTCTGAACACAAAATACTCAAAAAAGAAATCTTAAATGGGAATTAAACTAAACTAATTTAGATTTTCTAGAGAAAAGGAGGAAAGATTTCTGATTTTTTTTTTTTTCTCATCTCTTCACTTCCTTTTTATGGTACTCTAGTATCTCCTCATGGGTGTGGTTCTAAATATCTAGTCTAATCTTCTTGCATGAAGAATCAATGTTCTTAAAATCCCAATGATGTGAGGTCAGTCAAGCTGTGATCTCTGAGCTGGTGTCATCTAAATTGCTCTTCCCTTTCAGATGGGATGTCTAAGCCAGCGGAAAGAAAAGATTCAGGTGAGACCTCTCAAAAAACCATAATGAAACACTCCAAAATTTACATAACCCAATTATTATTAATAATTTATTTCCTAAAGATAATATTTAATTTTATTTTCATTCTTTGCACAGTATCAAACTGTAACTGTTTAAATACTTTTAAGCATCAGAGCAAATAGGTTTCTAACAGCTAAACCAGGAATGAGAGAAGGCTCTGCAGCACAAGACAAGATGTATATCAGTATTTTACACATACATACATACCTATCTATCTATATCCATTTTCATATAGATAGATACACAGCTATTCCCTTCCAGCCTACAGGGTGACAGTGGCTTACCTGAATCCCACACACAGACCTGAGGAGACTGTGGGAGAATGGCTTCTTCTCACAGCTCAAAGAATGGTGGGGAAAACTTAGTAAAGTCATAACTTCTTTCTTCCTACCCTGGCAGGTAACGCATACTACACCCACTTTTGTGGTTTCAGGATTTGCAGCCTCTGGAACAAAATGAGCAGCAGGTACTTCAACCATGGTTATTGACCTGGCATAGCTGCCTATGCCAGCCCCCTAAGCCAACGTCAAACCCTCGTTTTGTTCTGTTTGTTTAATAAATAGAAAAATGTTACTATTGAAAGGTGATGATAATATCTAGGTGCTATTTTATGTGGTACCAAATTAATGACTCTATGTAAGCTTCTTCCATTTATTAATATCCTTTTTCCATTTCATCCTGTACCGTCTTAGGTTTGTTACTGCACGTGGCCAGGTCTTGTACCAAGCATTGTCATATCATTCTGTTCACACCAGTTACTATCATTTGTTCTTACATTTTTTCCATATACTAGTATGTTATACTGTCATAATTAAACATTTCGATTATAGAGAGAGTATATATAGATGTTTATCTATATATATGTGTTCATGTATGTCTGTGTGTATGTTTTCATATGTGTATATACATGTGTGTATATACATTAATGTCTTTACCTGTATTGTACAAGCAGACATATACCGAGGTTTTAGGCACACCAGCTGTAATTCACTGAAAGGCAAAGATTTTATAGTAAAACTATCTAGTGCTTCTACACCTTTAGGAATAGATTTCAAGATAATAAACTCAGTTTCATTGCATTTTCCTATGGTTGTCATGAGTTGTGTTGCATTTGTGAATGATGGAAATTTTCATGAGTTAAAAATGTTCCCATAGTAGTAATCTCTACATAGTAGAAAGACAATTCTGACTTCTGGCACATAAGTTTCTGCAGAATATACTGAGCAAGGAAAGGAACTTCTAATTTCAAGGCCATGGTTTGACTATATGAGAAGTGTTGTGTGACTAGTTCCTCATTTATGCTATTTATGAAACAAAAACCAAAAGAGCATTAGATAAACTATAAAAAGTCAGCTTCGCTTCTGAAAGTAGAAGTTCAAGGGGAACAAGGGAGATGCAGCTCTGATTTGAAAGAGACAGATGGCTTTGTTAATTACAGCTGAACTTTTCTACATTTGCTCTGCTCTTCTGTACTACCATGGCAGCATTAGGTTTACGTAGTTTCCCCTATGCACTGGCAATAATTCCTGAGAAAACAGGAGATGTGGCATTTGGACTCTGCAAGTTCTCACTTGGAATATGAGACTCATGCTTTGCTTCTCTGCAGAAAGGGAGCAGGCTGTGCTGGTACAGTGCTCTGCCTTGAGGACACTGCTCATTTGTAGCTTCTCTCACTACTATTGCTCCTTTTTAGTTCCAAAATCACGATTTCCAGAAAAGAAGGTGCTGTGTCTGAAGATACAACACAATCATTTCCATATGACACACTATTCTTCTGTAAAATATCAGACAATGTACAATGGCACGACATGGTATTGACTGATCCCAAATCTCTCTGCTTCTATCGTGCTAGAAGAGAAGAAAAGTTAGAAGTAAGCTTCATCCCTGCCCTGTTTTGTGTACAAAGAGGAAAAAGTAGCTTGTACAATTGACTAAGTTTGGGCTTGAGAAACGCCCAGCAAAACTATGCATCATACATGTTTTGTTTGTGCTTATAGCTGTTTGTGTTTTCAGAACCTCCATCTCTTCTGAAAAACAAAGAGCTGACCTCTGTGCACTGCCTCTGTAAAGCACTCATGGTTGAATACTGGTGCTATTCGAGTTGCTCAGTACTCATCTTGGCTGATCAGGTTCCCCTCTCTTCCCTAATAGTTTCATTTTCTGTCACCACAGAGGTAGCATTTTTGCAGGAAATGTACACAATGTCACAGACAAGCAATGGATATCAGTGTGAACAAAACTTTATATATCTTTCAGGACATCTGAAGAGAGAGGTAATAGGGTTAGAGAGTTTAGTAAGTTCAGGTAAGTGTATTTTGGAGGGAGTAAAACACACTCATACAATTGACATTTCCCTCTCTCTCTGCATCTCAGTATGGTCTATTGGAGAAGGAGAAGAGACAGAAAAAAGAGACAATGATGCCCAAAGATCCACTTTATTCATCGAAAAACCTCAGAGCGGTACCGTTAGTGTTGGTAAGTGCTTAGAAACAAAATCAACATCCACTCCTAGAGAGACAGAGACCAAAGCAGAGCCAGGAAACATACCAGCAGTTCCTGTGACACTCAGCTTCTGCCCTCAGCTGCAAGTAATTCCATTGATTTTAGTTGGATGTGAATTCCACTCTTCAAAGGCAAAAAGGACTGTATGAAGAGTAGCCAAACCCAACCCACTCAAGACAAACTCAAATCTAATAATTTACTGAGCACTGTGGGTAAGAGTTGTAATTTCTGGAGAAGAGAGCTGGTTACTGTGATGCTGTTGGCTGTAATTATTATTGCTATGTCAGGAAAATCTACCTAAAGGCCTGCAGCATAGCTTAGAGATTGCCAGGCCAACTTTTGTACTGTACAGCTGTGTGTAAATTTGCAAAAACAGCTCTGTAGTGAAGCTGGAAGGGTCACCCCCATAGTAACTGTTCTGGGGGATTTGCTCTGGACTAGCTCTGTCTTAGTCCTGTGGTCCATATACCTCTTAGCAGTTGAAGCACAGGTGGCAAACTGCCATAGCACATCTTTGGCTTTAATTCCACCCCAGAGGAAACCAGTTCAGGTGCTCTGAGGACTTTCTGTTTTGGTGAACCAGAGCATAATAAATGGGGATGTTTAGGTGGTTCACTTCCAAACTCCACTCTTGAGCCATATTATCATGGTAAGGCAGCTGCATCTTAAGGAAGACAGCAGCAATGGTGAGAAATGCTATACAGGGTACTTAATATGTCTGTTTATACTTAGATACACTAAGATGTGGTCAGATGGTGTTTTATTTATGTATGCCTATTATTTTTCTCTGTTTCTGAGTAGAAAAAGAGCATTTGGGAAGGATTTACTTGGCAGTGGGCAGCGGTGTTCCAAAAACTGAGTTAACTTTTACTATTCCCAAATTATTTCTTAGAGAAGACTCTTTCC